TGGTTGCAGTGTTTGGGATCACTAGGTTTTTAGTGAATCTGTGTCAAGTCGTGCTATTTTCAAAGACTGACCATTGAAATTTATTTCAACCAAATACAAACCATGAATGTCACCTGGCTATTGTATCCTTAAGCCTAAGTGAGTCCAAATAGAGTCTTGTAGCTTTTATGACTATAAACAAGAGCAAAGATCAAGTAGAAAGTGCTGAAATCAAATTGGAATTCACAGTTAACAATCACATCAGGGAGTATTCAGGACTACTGTTCCCTGTAAACTGACGTAGCCTCTAATAATTCATAATTTAATAGAGGGTAATATCTTGTCAGTTATAATCCACTGCTCCACTGTGTCCAGACATTAAGAGGATATTTAAAAAATGTGTCAGATTATAGAGGCAGAGTTTGATTGTTTGCTGAATAGAGGCCCCCTGCAGAAAACCGCCTATTTCTTATAAAACGTTGTTCTCATTACAGTGACTGATGAGGAAACATCCCAAAGTAAACACATGTCCATTTGGCTGAAGGATCCCTGCTGTTGTTCTTCTAAACAACCCCACCTCCCCCCTCTTGTCTTCTATTTCCCAGTGCATTGTGGGATGACAAATAAACAAGTCCAGGCGGAGGAGGAGTCCAATGTTCAGCCTCCACAACAGGGATCTGTGGCAGAGGGTTTCTCAAAGCCAGCTGAAGCACCAGAGCTGAGTCACTCGGACTGTGAATCAAGCCGCACACTCAGAAAGACAACATGTCATTCTGGACACATCTGTGTGTTCAGGCAACGTAACTCCATAATGCATCCATATATACATTTACATACAGACAATCTGACACTGTTTCCTTTGAGGCAACCTGCTGGCAGTGGGAACAGGGAGGACTAAAACACAGGAAAGAAATAGTGAGCATACTGTTTATAGAAATACAAGAAAAATCTGAAAAATGCCAAAGATATGCCATATTTGAAGTAAGCAATGAGTGTGATCATCAAGTTTTAACAAGACAGCACCTCCCATGCTTCACTCAAATTTGACTGCTGCATTGTTCTCCAGTCTATCACCTTCTATGTAGCAGATTCACACATTAGCACACATTTTTCGCTCAGGTTGAAAAGTTTTTGCGTCAATTTGCATCACCTCAGGCGAACTGGCAGTGAATAGCGTCTTTCCTTTGTCTTTGTGTTCTATCTGAGGTAGTCTACAGTCGTGCTAGTGGCTCTGTGAGCTAGCAGCTTTGTATGTATGTATGCATATGTCGACATGCTCACTATGAAAATGCTAAAATGTTTATTGTTAGTGGGCAACTATCTTCACCATCCTAGTTTAGCATGTTAGTATGCTAACATTTGCTAATTAAACACAAACTACTGTTGTACTACTCTTATTATATGTCTATCTCATTATATGTATATATGTCCCACAGACACTGGCATCACTTGAGACACCACACTAATATAGAATAAGAGCTTAAAGCATAAGAGGTAAGAAAGATTTTCTAAGAGGAAACACATTGTAAAACTATAAAAAAACATTCAAATTCATGGAAAATACATAAAACACAATATAAAGTAAGGAGTAACATTACCAAAATACAACTGCATGCATTCCTTATAGAGAGTAACAAGGAAATATAAAGACAGAAGTGATAAAAACACATGATGTGTTCACATTTACAAGCTTATACAGTAGGCTACATAGCCTACACAAGGCCATTTGTATAGAACACAAGTGACTTTACAGAGACGATTGTGTCTTGTGTATCTTGTGAATATCTCAAACTAGGGCCCTATTATATCTTATATGTGGATAATAACACAAACTTTATATTCCCAGTGCAGTGGCAGTCTGCCCTGCTGCTTCAGCACACTGTCACCATGGCGATCCCTGGGGAAAGGTCATGAGCCGCCTGGCTTGGATGTTTGAAGGTCTGCAGATTGGCTATTGATGCTGATGACACGAGACTCGCTGGCACATACTGGTCATCCTTCGGCTGGCTCATTTCCAAACTTTGCTCTTTCAGAGAATCATTTTCACAAACCTCCTCAGCTCCCTGGTTGCACAGTACAGCTTGACTGTAGGCTGATAGCTAATGTTTCTGGAACAATGCTGCTAATAGCCTACATTCAGTATCTTTAAATTTACATTTTTGTGTCAAAAAAGGTGAATATTGAAACTCTCCATTCAAACTCATCAAATTCTATTAGGTGAATTATCAGCTCCTTGTGCTCCTCGTGTGCAATTTCAGTTTGGCAATCCAGTCAGTGAAGAGCCCTCCTAGTCCATTTAAAAACAGTCAAAAACATTACCCAAATTTTACAAGCGTTTGGTTAACAAGACACATCTGCGCACTTAGCACCTGCTGATTTATTTCTGTACAAAGTGCCCATTTCACTTTCATCTATAAAGCTGATATGTGAAAAACGTTCATCTCAGATATTCACACATTTGTTTACATTTATTCCATCATATGTAGAGTGATAATCTCTGGTAACAGAAAAGTGTAGACACCTGTGGGAAAGCGACATCATTCAGTTTTCAAACCCAATGGTTGTTTTCATATGAAGGATGGGCAGAATTGACTAATCATGTGGATATTGAAAGAGGATCTAATTAAAGTGTTATTTTGGACCTAAAGGATCCTCAGAAGGTATCAACATGTCTATATTGTGGAGAGAAACATTCAATAAAAATAAAAAAAACGCAAGGCAGAAGAAATGGCAGAACTGGTTTTTACTCACATATGCCAAAGTTTGTAGCACGATGCCAATGGTGTACATATTGAAAAGCTTCTATTGTTCACACAAGATTGTGAGGAGGACAGGTCACAGCAGCATTAATGAAAATGGACAGGCTGGCAGAGGCTAATCCACGTCTCAAAACCAACTTCAAAGTGTTGGCAGTTGAGGGACCATTCAACTGTATATAGTTAAATAGTACCAGACCTCCTAGAGCAATGTCATTCAACTGCCTTCTCTACCAGATTATTACTAAGCCCTCAGGAACACCACTGGGCTGTGTAGCAATGTTAGCATAGTGGCCACAGTTGGGATTGCAAGTCACATGACGCCCATTGGCCTGAATGTTTCTCATACACAATCATTACAGAAGAAACAGTTGTAAAATGATGAACTGAATCTTGAAGAGCTGTATCAGTAAATCATTTTTGTGCTGTTCAGATGTACACGGAGCCAGTAGGGAGGCATCCGGCTCGATGGCTTTAAAGTCCCCATGAAACAGAAAGCAGAGTGCTTTTTGCCTCTGCATATTCACGTGTTTCCTGTAAAAACAGGCCGATAGGGATATTGATTGGTGTTTACAGTTGCCAGTAGTGATCCAGTGAACACAGCTGGCAACGAGACATAGCAAGCCAGCAGTTAATTAGTGGTTAGCCACTTTAGCAAGTACTTAAAGCTATCTGTCCATCAGGAAACTCTGTAAAAACAGAGTTGAAGCTTAGCAGCCAGAGGACATATGAGGGAAACAGAAATATTTTCTGCATAAAATATGATTCAGTTAAACCAAAACTAGTGAATAAAGTTATAAAGTTGTGCTCTTGTACAGTAAACAGTGAGTCCCAGCCTTATGTTTTACATCAGCTCCCAGAAACACAAACACATTAGTTCCCTCTTGTGCATTATGAGCCATCAACAACTTTTTATTGTTTTTCAGGAAATTACAAATTCTAAGATACCATTAAGAATACCTGAAATTACCTAAAAAGGTACTTTTTGGTCATTGATGAGTCAGATACTCATATGTAGTTGACTTATAGCGCTAAAAAAACGTTTAAAAACATACATTTTGAATTCATGGGGACTTTAAAGCGACTATGTAGGATTTTGGTTTTGGTTTAATTCAACAATATCTATTGATGGTTAAATGTACTTTTGTATGAACTGAAAACATTCTTTCTTAGGAGGTGTGATTCTGTGATGGACAGGAGACCTGACTTTAATTGTACAGCACTTGTATTCGCTCTCAGCACCGTGGTTGTCTTTTCCTAAGTCCTTATGAGTTCTCCTACCCATCTTTCTCTGAATCTCTGAATCTCTGAGGAAAACCTTCTGAGGTCAAGGAAAAGTTTAGGAAAGCACATAAATGACCCTTTATCTGGCAGGTGTTGGTAATGCAGACTGTACCAATTAAGACTTTTGGGTGGGGGGAAGTCATAGGTTTTCTTTTTGTATTTTCTTTCCAACCTTAGTAAAATTAACTCTACCCTGTGTAGGATGTTATAGAGTTATTGTACATTTTAATGCCTTAATGGAAAGACTTATGTTACTAACATTCTTAATAGCTTTGATTGTCTGTTTAATTTTACCCTTGCTATTGCAGATGTAGTTTGACCTAAAAGTATTTAAAGCTATTGTTTGATTCATTTGGCTCTAAACCTCCCAGATTTGCTGGCTAACATCCTGATCAGCAGGGTTTGAAAGCCAAACATCAAGGAAGTGCAGCAACAAGATATAACAAGCCAGCTAATATTACGTAGTCCAGCAACGAGCAGGCCAGCTCGCCGTCTGTCTGCAGCCTTTTATTTTTCTCCTCCTCTCTTCTAAGCTTCCTCCATTGTCCTCTTACATCTATTCGTCTCTGTCATTACCTATGCATTGCCTGCTCCAGTTCTGGCATGAGTGTAAACTCTAGGGACGAGCCAGTACACCATTATCTGTATTTGAATTGAATGGGCAGGGCTTAAATCTGAAGTGGGTGGTGCTTAAACCCAAAATTGACAGGTCTAACCAAAAGAAGTTCATTTAAGCCTGAAATTGATATGGGTGGATTTGAAGTTGCTATATGTATCAGCAAAATATTTATAGGATTTAGCTTTAGCCAAAAGTTACATTGTGATAGAAAAGGCGTACATGGAGCCGAGTGGGAATAACAGAATAACATTCACCCTATGACAACTCAGTGTAGCATCAAAATGATTTTGAAGCTGTTATTTTAAGGTAGAAAAGTTACATAATGGGAACCCCCTAAAAATCTTGTTTTTGCTCACTTGCAGTGGTTCCACTGAATCACATGAAACAAAGACCTAAGGTCCCATCCAAACCACAGACACTGCAAACGTGGTCTGCGCCTCAGCCCATTCAAGCGCCACCTATTTTGTGAAGACTTGTGGATAAACGTCACCTCCTGGTCTGACCGGGCACTTAAGGTAAGATTATATAAGCCATTCAACACATATTTAAAAGATTCACATGCACAGATACCACCGTGTCCTGTGCACCATGGCAGCAGAACATAAAAATGTCAGATTCACACAAGCCAAACAGACAGTAATGAAGCAAAGGTCTGGTTGCACATAATCAAAGCAGAGAAAATCAACTTGACTTCTAAACACACTCTGCTCACCGTTGTCATCCAACAGAGACAGAACAGTCACCGCTCATTAGACATGCAGGTATCACACACAACCAAAATACATACAAACAGCAGGGAGTTCAACTCTGGGTTTTATATTGATTGCAGTGAGGCAGATAAGTTTGTATGTTTACATTTCTAAGCCCATCATTACAAACTGAAGCTATATGTTTGGCTGTGTTATGTTAGTGTGCTGGAAGCTGGATGAAGGTTATGCAAATTAGCTGTTTAAAAACATTTAAAACACCATCAAAATTACATAAAATAATACTTTTTGCTATATGACAGAGGTTCTCAATCTTATTACTTAAAGGTCTGTATGATTTTTATTTTTAATTGATGATAACGAAAGAATTAATCCCCTACATTTACAACCAGAAACGAGAAACATATGTGTATCTGTATGTGCGATTTAGAAGCTTCTCAGTCAACGTCACTATGACAACAGTGTCCACAATAGAGAAATAAGCCACATTAAAATCACATCTTGGGGACAGAGTGCTGTGAATTAGGGCTTATAGGTATTGGGTTTTCAATTTTGGAATTTGGATATTTGTTCATACACTTACATCTCTGTCCCTGTCACTGCTACAGAGACTGGGTTGCCCCGCCTCTTTCTGCTTCTCTCTTGCGGTATGATACAAGGACAGAAACCTACAGGCTGTATGAAGCAAGTGTGAACCTATTGTGGCATTATGGTCGTCACTATATCGGTTTGTCTGAGCCAACTGAGGTGATGTACTGTGAGTTGAGTTGCTCTCATTGGCTGTTTCTGAAAGGATTTTAGGAGAGAAATAGGAAACGCAGGAACAGAATCTGGATTCATATCTGATCAGCACTGCCTAGTTTGACAGTTTGATCTGAGTTTGGTACGTTGAGCTGGACGGACTCACTGAGAATGACCTGTCAATCCTAAGGTAGCCACGCCCTAAAGCATACCCTGCTTTGTCATCTATTTTAAATGGGACCATAAATGAACACCATTCTGTATGGAAGAAGACTGAAACTAGAGATTGACACCATACACTCATTAGGAAACTGTTAACTTAGCTCATACAAGTGTATGAAGTCAGAAGTCGACTCATTTATCCATAACACTGCATGCTATTTTTTTTTTTTTTCAAAATCTGACATTTTGTAACATATTGCATTCATCACATGAGGTATGGGCTAGGTCCGGATTGACTTGCCATTCAGCCTAATAAATATGTGTCCGTTTTTCCAGACTTGTGATTTCTGTTTATCATAGCAAATGCAATCGAATTCACCAGCCATTATGTCAGTGGTAAAGCTAAGTGCAGGTCATTGCCAGGTTATTTATTATAATTATTTGAACTATGCTACCTTGAATGCTTTTTTTTTTTTTCGTTTGACTGTTCATTCTTGATCTTGACACAGAATGTTACAAATCCTCTTAATCTCTAGTTCTAGATGTTTTGATGATCAAACAATCAGCAGATTGAGTTTGCTCCTAAAAAATGTTTTTAGATTCTTGATAATAGTCCACAAAACAAAGCTGTAATCATGGTCAGGTGTTTATCTTGGGTGCTATGTCACAAGCTGTTTGTCATGGTTTGGTATTGTTTATGCTGTCACCTGATCGTACTGTTGTAAGTGTCAGCTGGTTGTGACGGTCATGTGACAATATAAACATTATATACCCTGTTAAATCTTAAACAATTTGTGTATTTTATAAACTTATCATAGGACTACCCTTTTTACATAGATAATTGATTCATTCATTAATCTGAATCTAATAACAATAACTGTCAAATACATGTGGTGGAGCAAAAAGTAAAGTATTTCCCTCTGAAACGTCGTGGATTAGAAGTATTAAGTAGCATAAAAGGGGAATATTAGTAAAGTAAAGTACCTCAAAATTCCTTTGCCAGCCTTAACTGTACCTTATACCTAGTGCTCAGTAGCTAATGTTAGCATGCTAACAGGTTAAACTAACATGGTTAACATATCTGCAGTATATATCTGAATGTTAGCAGTCATTGTGAGTATATAAATATTGACTGTATATAAAGATGGATGACTAGACAATTCCCCAAGAGTGAAGGCAAAACATCTCGCTCGCCCCCTGCTGGCTGGCTGCAGTACAGGTCATAAACCCCGCCCCCTTCATGTTAGCAGTGAAAGTGGGAGGAAGTGGAGACATATCATCCATCTTTATGTCAATGTGTGAGGATGTTAGCATGCTTTAACTCAAAGCATCGGTTAAGTACAGTTTCCCCGAGGTGCTAGCATGGCTGTAGAGTGTTAATATGCTCCAAAAACAGTACTTGTTTTATGATCCAACAGCGTCTGAAACCCCGTCCCAACACACCTTTCTGACGTCGGAACTGGAGAGACTGCGTGGACAATTTTAGCCAGCTTCTCACCTTTCAAGTGTGACCGTTTGGAATACTTTTGCCTAAGGACGTGATCGGATGACACTTTGGTCTAATGTTAGATGACACACGAGAGTAATTATGCAAAAAGCTGACAATTACAATATCCAGTATATTTGGAAAGGGACGTGTCCCTACGCCCTGGACCCCGTAAACATTAGCCCTTGTACCCATTGCTAACTAAATATTCAGAACACATTATGTAATATTTCCTACCTCCATACACATGATGGGAAATGTAATATGATTTATAGCATTTTACCACTTTTCTCCATATTCCAGGTTTTTTATTATACCTGTTTTTCCCATAAGTCAAGTTGATGCACGGGTCTGCAGGGCAAAGTGAATGTGCAGCGGTGCTCACATTCACACATCAAATTGGTTTTTATACGTTCCAGGCTTTGCATTGGGTATATTTGCCCATGTTTTTACAGCAATGGTTATTCAGTGTTCATTCACATTTACCTATTAGGTTTTCAGACACACATACATGCACACACACACACACACACACACACACACACACACACACACACACACACACACACACAACTGCTAGTTTACAGCTACAAAACAACAGCAACAAAGAAAGAAACATTGTTTCTCACCAGGCAGATAGCTTGCAAATAAACTTCTTTCATCACGCACTAGTTAGGTAGAACATGTTTCTACAAGGGTTAAATAGCAAATCATTAAGAAGGAGATGCACACTGTCTGATTAATTGCTTTCCACAGCAATGAACTGTCTTGATTATCCACAGGCAGCGTTCCTGCTCGCTGTTTGTGTTATGACCCACTTCTACCTCCAATTTCAAAACACTTAGGCAATGTAGGGCAGCAGTTATGCAGCTCCAAACCACTCAGTCAGCCAAACAATGATACACAGTAACACTGTGTAGTCGGGCAGTATTTTATCTAAGCAGAATGATTTGTTCCAGCAGGTACTGAGCCTGCAGGGACTAAAACAGATGGAGATTCAGAGAGGCGACAGTTGCTGTGGAGTTATCAGAGCAACGTTTGGCAGAGTGAAGGTGATAGAGACCAGAAGTCAGACAGGAAAAAAGACAAAAATCTTTACATTGTATAAACTGGCTAGTGCGTGAACTAAAATACAAAGGTGTGTTGTTGTGGAGAAATGGCTGCTGTAAGCCCTGTTCAATATCATGTGTGAAACAGGATAGTATTAAGTTTAGTCCAACTAAAATTAAATTGCATTTTTAATTCAAGTGTAACTAAACCCCTAAATTCTGCTAGCTCCCTCCCAGCAAATTTAAAAAATGCAGCAGAGAGAATCATACATTGTGGCTACAGAGTGTGTGACGCGGGAGCTAACACCATCCAGAGTGACAGACTGCCTACCGCTCAGTGTAGCAGGGATACAGCTGCCGGTAGTCTGAGCTATCTGAGCTAACTAGTCATGAGCAGCTGTTGTTAGACTCTCTATAGCCATGCTGGAAACACAGAGTCTGCTGGAGCTTTGACAGTCACTAGAAGCACACTCATGTCAGTTTTTAAAAGTTTCTGTGTGGTACGGGTACGTAGCAGGCCACAGTCTGCAGAGTGGAGATGTTGGTCTTATATAAGCAGTGGTTGGTTGGTGACGAAAGCTGCCAGCACATATGTCACCTGCCTCCACATCAGCTGATAGCAAAATGTTATTGAATTAGCTGTGTTTCAACCCATAGAGAGCGGTTGCTTTGCATATTAATAGCAAAATATGTAGTGTGTTCAAATACTTTGCAAAAAATAGCAAATTAGCAATTAGCAAAATAAAAGTGGTTTGGGGGTTTAGTTTATTTTATTCATTGTTTATTTGTACAGGGACAATTATGTAGAATAAACAAATGCCGAAGACCACAGCATTTATAGCCTGAGCTAATTTGCAATTTTCATCCCTAGTTGGGCCTTTAAAATACATAAAACTCAACAAATACACAAGAGACAGTACAAAACAAAACTAACAATAAGTATGTACATTAAAAAACACAGAACTCAGCAGGAAAACATACAGGACACAAAGTAATTAAAGCACCATAAAAACAGGATCCACCAGATCATTCATGACTACATGACTGAGCATGACTGATCCCTCTTCAGGTTTAATTGACCTTTCTCTGCTACAGCACATTGGGAAAAAGCAGTAAGAAAGCAAAATGTATATATCATATCTATATTCAGAATGTTGTTCTACATCTATGCAGATGTAGACATTAGTACAGCCAATCAAACATACGGGATGCCATCATACACAACACGTTCAGTACCACGGATAGCACCACTCTTTATGAACTTTATGGAAACCTTTAATTTAGCAGTTGAGCACAAGTCCAAATGAAAGCGCCACATCTTCCAGATGTGTAAATAGGCAACTGTTTGCTAACACGTTCGCATATCAACA